CTTCTTATGCTCCTCGACTGAATTAAAGCATCTGCTAAATGCATAAATATAAATGTGATACTGTAAAAAAAAAAAGAGCTATTAGACAACATATTAAATGAATAAATCCTCACGCAGATCATAAGCATTAATAATGTTTTTTAGCTTTATAACTTTGCAGTACAGGCTTCCATTGTAAATGCTTTTACTCATTTTACCAAACTTTTACCTAAACTATTATCAATGTTTTTAACAGGGTATATAACTTTCTCTGATCTAAGAGTACAAACAAGGCTGTTCGTTTTGTTTGTTTTAACATTTGCAGTGTCTCTGGTGAAAACCTCTTTCATCTGTGGGAACTGGAGGAGGAATTCCTCCTTTCAAGTCAACTAAAAAGACAGCATCACTTCACACGCTCTCAGAACGACACCTGCCTTCTAGTTCACTCAATGGCCATCAGTCAGCGCTCATCACTGACCCGTAAGAGCCACACAAACACCACACAAGCCTAATGCCATTATATAAGAGATGATGAAGCGTCTGCAAAGAAAAAGTGCAAAGTTCATTCTCCAAGAGTAACCTCTAATCTCTAAGACATGAGTGATTCCTCAGTGCATATGTCTTGTAAACGAAAGGTGTGCAGGTACTTCAGCGATCAGATGCACTGTTCTCACCTGCTGGTAGGGCTGCATGTTTTGGGAAAAACAAATTGTGATTTTTCTAATAGAAACTAAAATGTGAAAAAGGTTTGCTGTGCTTGTTTGTATGGTTGCACAATTTGCCATTTTTTTGTCTATATATCAATATTGCTATAAAATAATAATAAAAAATAGATAACAATAAATAAATAAATAAAAAGAAGTAAATGCTGTCAAAACGATTAATCGCATCCAAAAGAAAAGTTTTTGTTTACATAATAATAATAATAATAATAATAATAATAATAATAATAATAATAATAATAATAATAATAATAATAATAATAATAATAATAATAATAATAATAATAACTCTTGTTTTATAACTAAATAAAAAAAATGACAAAAACTAAAATATATTATAATACACATTGTTGTACAAATAATAATTATTACTATTATTATTTGTTACCTTTACTAAATAAAAACATAAAAATTACTAAAATATAATATTATAATACATATTGTAGCACTAAAAATAATAATAATAATATAATTATTATCATTATTAAATAAAAATTCTTAATAAAACAAAATAAATATTACTCTTGTGATATAAAACTGAAAATGTTAAGAATTGTATTTAAGAGTATTTAAGAAAATATAACAGCAATAATTTTATTTTTATTACATTACTGTAAAATTGCAAGACTAATATTTATGGCTGCCCATTAAAGCATAAAACTTTTATTTTTAATCACATCGGGACCTTAAAGCTGCTCTTTTATTTATAAGTGCTTCTCATTACAAGTTTGGAAAGATTTTTGGCGCATGGTGCGTTTTCCAATGCACATTATAAGCAACACAAATGAATACAGATGCTAAATAAAAGTTCAAGTGAAGAAGCATTTACTGTGAACAAAGATGACGAAAACATGAGCTGTTTGCATGAACATAAACACAAGATGCTGTGCTTCACTCTGAAACACACAGCGCATATATTTATTAAATTAAATCACAGCCTTTGTGAGTTGCTAAGAGCACTAAGCCGTATTGCAATTTTGGTTTTATTTCGATTAGTCATGCAGCCATACCTGCTGGATGATTAAACAGATGAAAACACAAACTGAAGGAGGGACTCGAGTCATATTTAGAGTAGAAAAGATCACCGAGACTAACAGGACTCATATGATTATTCTCATTGCTTTCTGTAAAACAGAAACTGAATGCATTCAAATTGAATGAACTCTGCATGAAGCAAATACATTTCTGAACATTTAAAATAGCCTATTCATGTTAACACAAAAAGCATGAATCCACTGACAGCTCGATCCAAAGCTGCAGTGCACAACATCTGCGCGAGAATCATTCCCAGATCAACAAACAGCAGTTGTTCTGTTGAAAGTTTCCACAAACACGTCCCAAAGCTCGACTGCAGTCCTGTCCAGTTCATTTCTGCTCTGCCCACCTTTATAAACTGCTGAGGCCTGAGAAACACACACACACTCGACTGACCATAACAAATAAACACACCGTCTGCTAAATCACAAGAATCAGCAGCAGCAGCAGGAGCTGCGGTTCTGTTCCGTCTGTCCTGGCTTTGACTGGCCGCCAGCGTCTGGATCGGGCCAGTGTCACATTTACAACACACACACACACACACACACACACACACACTGCATGCAACTTTAACTGTTTCTAATGCAACAAGATTAAAACCCGAGACACATGATAAATATTCTACAAAATGTTTTTCATGTTTATGAGAACTTAAAGGGAGTCTGTCATCCTTTATTCACTCCCATGTTGTTTTTCTGTGGAACACAAAAGAAGATATTTTGAAGAAAGTGTCCTTGCAATGAAACAATAGCAATAATGGACTCCACTGATTTTCACTGTATGGACAAAAAAAATTTAAAAATTTCAAAGTATCTTCTTTTGTGATTGCTGAAGAAAGAAATCATACAGGTTTGGAATGATATGAAAGTGAGTAAATGACAGAATTATTATTTTTGAGTGAAACGTTTTGGATTTTATGACTTTTAAAGTAGAACTTCAGCAGGTTTATTGAACATTCTGCTTTCATTAACCAATAGAACTTAAGTTATTTTAGTATTATTAATATGCTATTATATTAATTAATATATTCTTTATTTTTATTTTTTCAGTTTTCATTTTAATACTAGTTTCTAATATTTTATTAAGTTTTTGTAAATATTTATATTTAGCTTTAATTCATTTTTATTCAATTTTAATTGTATTTTACTTCACTTGGCTGCCAATGCACCATTTCTCATTTAAAATTTTAATCTAATATTTATATATTTTTTGTATTTCAGCTTTTTTTCAATTATCAGAAACCTTTTTTTAATTATTCTAGTTGTAGTCAATGATGACAACACTGGAGTAGATGCTGTATTTATCTTTTTATGAATGAAAATGAGGCTGTGTGGGACAGATGCACATCACAATGGGTGTTTAACAGAGCCTTCTGTCAGCAGGAATTGCTTTGAAAAAAACATATTTTCAATGTGGCATCAGCAGAACAATCATGAGCAAAGATAAAATCAGTTGGACAGACGTCTAACCCTCACAGCCTCATTTACATTCCCAAGAAATTAAATGAGACATCAAAACAAAGGGCTTTCATTTCACCATAATTAAATCCATTCCACCACAGAATTGCTAAAATGTGGGAAAATGTTTCACTAAGAGCATCACAAAATCACTTCCATTTGAATCAACTTGAATCAAGTTATTATTAATATTTTCCTCTTCTATGCAGATGTGTGACGTTCAGAGCCCTTGCTGTCAATGGGTTTCCGGCTTCTATTCATAAATAAATAATATTTTGTGAAATTAATTCACTGAAGAGTTGATCAAAGAATAGTAATGAATGAGAATGTTTGCTCAAAACCTCTGAATTTAAATTCATAGTGTGTGATGTGCTCATATTAATGTTTCAACACTGCTGAGATATTACAAAAAAAAAAAAAAAAACTCAGTGTACAAATCCTTTAAAAGTACAGATTTATAGCACCACCTATTGGTGAGAGAGGAATAACCAGAACACACACTGCATCTGCCACAGCCTGAGCAACAGGTGTTCATCAATACAAAACCATCAAATAAAGTCAGCAGCGCCACCTTACGTCAAAAACAGGAAGTGGCATTAAGATGAAAACACAAACCTGCTCTGGTAAGACAGACTAGACTGTCTTCTGAATACTGAGACAGTTCTTACATATTCATACAGATTTAATTCTGATTCAATATTTCTTATTAAAGGCAGAGTTCGAGTAATACATAGAAGTAACATATACTACATTAACCTTACGGTTGAAGTAAAAGTAATGTTTGCTTCTGGAATTTACATCATAATACAGGAGCTGCTTTTTAAGTAATATTTAATCTATTTATAAACAAATGCAGCTGAAAATCTCTCTGTTCTCCGAATCCTAGTCAGGCTGGCCTACACCAGGCGTATTATTATGTTAAGTAAAACTAGAACTAAAACTATTAAAACATTTTTGTTAATTGAAATAAAAGCTGATATAAAATAAATATTAGATGGAAAACCTAAACTTATTTAAGTAATTTCAATTTCTAATTTTCATTTACATACTTTCAAAATGACTTACTGGAAATAAAATAAATAAAAACTAAAACGGAACTAAAACTAGGGCTGCACGATAAATCGAAATGGAATCAAGATCGCGATTCGACAGAAGCTACGATTGTCATGCGTATCTTTCAGTGAAGCACGGTTCTGTGATCAGCAGTAAATCTCCATCCGAAGGCCAGAGGGCGCTCTCGCGCTGAAACTCCAAATACGCCTTGCAGAAGTAATCCAGGAAATGCCTATCGCTGCAGCTGAATAAACAGAAGATTCAACTGCTTTCATTGATTCAACATGACTAATAAACACACGA